TTTTTTTTTTCTGAGACTTCCTTTTCGTTCTGTATGAACCTGTTAGTACTTTTTCCTACAGGAATAACGCTCTACCACCTCCTCCCAATCCCCTAGCCCTGCACTCCCTTTGCCTTCCCAGCCCCTGGCACGCGCGGTGCAGCGGAAGCTGGGGCGTGCGCCCCAAGCGCCTGCGGCCGGGGATCTGGCGCCCCTCTACCCCCCCCCCTTTTCCTCCCGTAACCCCCCACCCCCACCTCCGCAGCCCGCCCGGCCCCGCGCCCCCGGCCCCGCCCGCCCCTCCGCGGCTCCTTTGTTAGGGACGCGGTGCCCAGATGCGTCCTCCGGCCCCCCCGGGGAGCGCGCCCCACCCCTTCCTGACTTCTCAGAGCCCCCGAAGGACTTGTAAGCAGAGAGGCTTCAGCCGAGAGGCTAAATGACGCCCCAGGGGACTTTTTAAGGAAAAAAACCCTAAATTTCATTTAGGCTATTCGGGGGCCGCGCGATCCCAAAGCGGGCGGAGGCGCGCCTCTCCGCGCCGGCTCTGTGCGCCCCGGGCTGCGGGGACCCCGTCCCTCCCGAACGCCCCCCTCCCAGGGGCTTGGGGGGCGCCGCTCCCTCCCCCGCTCCCGGGTGCCCGCCGCCCCGCACGTCTCCTCCCGCTCCCAGCCCTTCCCTTGCCTTCCCCGGCCTTCCCACCCCGCCCGCCGCAGCCTCCCTCCCCTCGGGCTGGAGGAAAAGTCGGTAATAAGAAACCAGTTCGGTGTCAGTGGGAGAGAAGGGGCGGGCGGGGAGGGGGCGATCACCCCAGAGATGCGCGGCGATGGAGAGAGAACTCATTTTGTGTAAAGAGGGCCTGGAGCCGCCAGGGAATTCCTGGATTGTCTCAGGCTGTCGTGTGTGATGTCCATCACGCCGTGCGAACACCATCTGCTCGGCATTATGCTCTCAGTTGCCAGGCTACCTGCTGTACGCGGCAGCACTTGACTGCCCGGCTCCGCTCGCCTCCCCGCGCCGCCCAGCCCGCGGGGCGGGGGGCGGGGGGCGGGGGCCGGGGTGGGGGAAGGTGGTGGGGAGGGAGGACGGGCCCTGATTAAGCCATCTGCAGGCGGAGGGCGGGGGCGCGGCGGGGCGGGCGGGCCGAGCTGAGCTCCGGGCTGACAGCACCATCTGCTGGGCCAGCGGCAGAACAGCAGCTGCTCCTGGTGTGGCGTTCCCTCCCCCCCTCCCTCCCTCTGCCGCCCCGCCCACCGGGGCCGCCTGCAAAAGGCTGAGGTCCTGGGCATCCATCCTCCAGCCGGTTCGCCACCGAGTGCCATCAGCCCAGGCTCATCAGCCTTTTGTGGTCCCCCCTCCCCAGCCAAGGAGCCAGCCGCCTCTGGCTCCCCGCCAGCAGCCCTGGCCCCTCTCACCCAAACACGAGGCGTGTTCTTGAAAACACTTCAGAGGGAAGAAAGCTTCCCTGCGCACAGATTTATAAATAAACAGCTGGCTGCTCTTGGGAGATATTTTTACCGCAGCTGTTTTTTGAAGTAGAAAACGGCCTCTTCGGGAGAGGTGGGGTGTTTGTGTGTGTGTGTGTGTGTGTGTGTGTTTTTTACACCTCCTACCTCTCCCAGCCCTTACAAGAATGGCTAAGATCTTTTCCCTGCGGGAGAAAAAGATACGAAAGATCGCTTCACTGGTTTTTATTGTGTAAAACCCCCTCCTCCCCCCCCCCCCCGCTTTATTTTATGGAAGAGGGAAAGGTTTGGGGAGTAATGAAGATCAATGGGACCATTTGGATTGCTGACAGGGAGAGACTGAATGGTAGAGCGCGAGGGAGCTTTTTTTGTTTGCTGTGTGTGTGTGTGTGTGTGTGTGTGTGTGTGTGTGTGTGTGTGTGTGTTTTGTTTTTTGGATTGTTTTTTTTTGGGGGGGGGAGTAGGGGGGAGAACAAGCCCCGTAATTAAAACTAAAAATACTTTGGCATCATTTGGCCTTCCAGTCCTGGTGAGGAAAGCTCGGCTTGGTTTTCTCTAACTGCCTGCACACACTGGGTGTCCACCGTAGAAACGAGAGCGGTGGCATGAAGTCCTGAAATTTGACAGGCGATTGCTCGCCAAGCCCTCTTCACCTGGAGGTGGAAAGCCACCCTGTAATATGAAACAGTTAATGGCCTCAGCCAGCTCAGTGTGTGAGGTGAGTCACTTGGTGAAGCTTCACACTCTGCAATGCGCACCTGAGCCTGGCCAGCCGCTGAATGCAGCAGAGCTGGTTGGGAGAGTCTTAACGGTGTAATTACCCGGATCCACAGCATTTCATTGGGAAGGCAATCCTTTGAAAATGCAGACAGCCTTCCTTGCCTCTAGGTCCTCAGGCCTTCGGTGAAAAACCTGAAGACAAAATTTGGGGGAAGGAATCATTTAGGGAAATACATAATCCTGGGAAGTAATCATCTATCTATTATTTTGTAAAGGGTTTTTTCCCCCACTATGTTTTTTAAAAACAATTTTATTGATTTTTAGTGAGAGAGAGAGAAACATCCATTTGTTGTTCCACTTATTTAGGCATTCATTGGTTGCTTCTTGTATGTGCCCTGACCTGGGGATCGAACCCACAACCTTGGCATATCCAGATGGTGCTCCCTAACCAACTGTGACCAGGGCCCCCACTGTGCTTCCGCAGTGTTTATTTTTGGCACAGGAAGACAGGGGCCAAAAGTAGTTGGATGTGTGGATCAATGTCCTCACCTCACAGTGGCTAGGTTGAGAAAGCAACAAGTCACTACTTACCACTTCTGAGCATGCGCCCCAGCTTCCCGGGCAGGTCACAGGACAAAAATATCTCAAAGTGCGCAAAAATAAACAGGGCCTGCCCAGACCCGCCCTCCCGTAAAATCAAGCTGAAGAAAACTTTATCTTCCCTTGGGCCTCATTTTCTTGCCAACTCTCTCCTCTTTATCAAAAGTAGGAAATAAATATAGTGAAATACACAGGAGGAGAAAGCCCCATATATCTGTATTTCTGCTGATTGGTTAACTATCCTTCAGTGTGAATTTGTTTAAGTGTTAAGTCATTTAGCCCTTTGATTCCAAAGGTGGGAAGAAACAGGTTTAGCTACTGGAAGGGCTTGGGAAACGGGTAGTAAATATTGGGAGCAAAGGAATGAAACACCTTGGTCCTTCAGGAGTCAAGTAAACCGGTAGCATGAAGGTTCCCTGCATTTGTTAGCATAAGGTCTTTTTAACCGAAAATTGCATCGTCCTCTACCTAATGATTGCCTAAGTACAGACAAAACACAGAAAGACAAATTTTATTAACTTCAGCAACGACCCTTGCATTCAAAAACTAGGACACAGGAACACTTCCGGGAGACTTCCAATCTATTTTGTCTGCAGGCAGTTCCTAAGTGCATGCTTGGCAGCATGGGCCTGAGGCCTGGGGAAGGTCTGTGCTCGTGGAAACAATATGAACTTGGACTCCGGAGCGGTGTCCTGGTTCTGCTAGTTCTGGTTCTTCCATTGATTAACTGTGTGACCGGGGCTGCTGCACTAACCAGAGCTTTTGGGTTCTTATTTCCCAGGTGAGAGGAGTAACGGAGTGCTGTTTTGCTTTGTTTGGTTCGGTTTGGTTTGGTTGTTTGGCCTGTTTTGTTTGGGTGGTAGAGTGGGGATTAATTACTTGAAACTTGAATGAACTGAAAGGAACATTTCTGCGGAACCCTCAGACAACACGTGCCGTTCCAGGTGTGCCTGAACAGGAAAGGCAGTGCCTGCAGACTGAATGCCGTGGTCATACGCCGGCACTCCCAGTGAGCTCTCTTCCCCACTTGTCTGCACTGCCAGCTGTAACAGACCTCCCCACTCAGCACTATCTCAAGTAGTAGCTTGCGCTGTGTGTAAATAGGCCTCTGCCACTTTACTTCCTATTCCTTAAGGACCGATGCTTAAAAGTTGCCATCATTTGAATGACCGACACATAATTAATTATGGAGACCCAATTCAACCCCACCTTTAAATTATCCCAGACCTGTGAGACTCAGTTCTCTTTTTGAAGATGTTGGGAGATTATGTATCATTGGGCAGTGTGACAGGCTTCTACTTCGCATCATTGACAACTCTCACTGGCAGGATTTTTTTTTTTTTTTTTTTTTTTTTACATTTATCAAAGCTTTCAGATGTCACAGTTATAGTTGACCCTTGAGCAACACAGATTTGAACTGCACTGGTCCACTTATACACAGTTTATTTTCTTTTTTTTGTTAAATTATACACAAGTTATTTTCAATAAATATACAGTTGGCCTTTTGTATCCCAGATTTCGCATCTGCCAATTCAGCCAACTGTGGGTCGAAAACAGTATTTTCAGTCCACAGTTGGGAATTCATGGATATGGAAGGCCTACACCATCTCAGATAAGGGACTTGAGAAGTCACAGATTCAGTATCCACGAGAGGGCCTGGAACCAATTCCCCGTGCCTTCTGATGAAGGACTCTAAAGTTTTGGGGGAGTCTATAAATTATACATGGATTTTCAACTGCACAGGGTTCAGCATCCCAAACCCCACGTTGTTCAGGGGTCATCTGTGATTAGAATTCCATCAAACAGCAGACCTGTCAATGAGTACATTGCAGCAAACTTCTGTGAATGTTTTTCATACTACCTAAGAAGTCCATTTGGGCCAGGTAGGCAGCAAGAGTGAGAGGTAAACTCAGGTTGTCTCCTTCAAGACATAATGCAGGCCCAGCCTAAGGGCCTTTGTCCTTTCCTTTGGAGAAACAGAATGTTAGCGGGAAATCCAGTCCTTGTCCCTTAGTCAGTCCCATCCAAAACGGATGGGACTTGGTCTCAGATCCCCCGAGCCATGCTCTGTGACTGTCCCCCTGGAGCCGCTCCAGTTCCACTGTGACGAGGCCACCTTTGCTGTCTAGTGTATTGTTTGTATAAAAACATAAATGTAGGCCACTCGGGACCCTTTTTCCCTCCCCCACGCTTCCCTTCAAATGTGCAATCACTGAATCGGCCTCTCTGTCCTCCTAGGAGCAGCACCCCATTGGGCTTCCCCGGACCACGGGCGCCATGCAGTCCTCCGTGCCCCCTGGCTCAGGTGGCATGGTCTCCAACACCAGCCCCTCGGGTCCGGGCTTCCTGGGCAGCCAGCCCCAGGTGGCCATCATGAAGCAGATGCTCATTGACCAGCGGGCCCAGCTGATGGAGCAGCAGAAGCAACAGTTTCTGCGGGAGCAGAGGCAGCAGCAGCAGCAGCAGCAGCAGCAGATTCTTGCCGAGCAGGTAAGGTGCCCGAGGTGTCCAGGAGGGAGGTACGGGACAGCTCCTTCTTCAAGATGTCCACGGTCTCCCGGGTTCACAGGAGAACCTGCAGAATGTAGACCTTTCCGTTAGTTGGACCTTTTCTTAGAGGGAATTAGTTTGTTCTGAAAAGAGAGGCTTCGGCTACCCATTTGAAAGCCCATTTGCCGGAGACGTGTCTCCCGTGTCTCCCGTTGGAGCCTGACTCCTTTACTTTGCGGGGGAGGGGGTTCTGGTACAGGGGTTGGTGCAATCAGCATGCAGGTGGGAGGGCTGGCTCACATTCTTCACAAGCTCTAATATTTCTAGCAACAGGAAAAAGAAAAAGGATTCAGAGAACTTTGTCTCTTAAAAGAAAGTGTTGGGAGGAGGGATTGAATCGGTCAGGAACAATGGAAGGGGAACAATAGCAGGATGAAAGGGCCCACGGAACTACCTGGAGGCCTGAACTGGAGGTCACAGAAAGGGGCAAGTTTAAGAACATTCCCAACAGCTTTGAAAACAGCTCGGGGAAATCTTTAAGTGAAAGGCAGGCCTAACACAAAGCTTTCCCTGAGGCATCTTTGCCCACCTTCCCCATGTGGCTCCTCCAGCTCTGAAGGAGAGCCCTCCCTGTGGGCTGCTCCTGTCTGCTTCAGTGTGGTTCTTTGTGGGGGTGGAAAGGGTGGTGTTTGTTTTGTTTTTGGAGATGCTTGTGCCTAATTTAGTATTATCCCAGGAAAGGCCTTCCACAAGAGATCCTTACATGGCTCCTATGGGGTCTATACAGGGCATCCCACTTTTTTTTTTTTAATCTTCACACAAGGATATATTTTCCATTGAGTTTTAGAGAGAGTGGAAGAGAAAGAGGTGAGGGAGAGAAACATCGACATGAGAGAGAGACATCAATTGGGTGCCTCCCGCATGCACCTATACTGGGGCTGAGGAACCTACAACCAAGATATGTGCCCTTGACTGGGAATCGAATCCCTGGCCTAACGCTCATGGGTCTAAGAGCTGATGCTCTAACCACTGAGAAAACCAGCCAGGGCAGGGCATCTCACTTTTATTATAGGAGATGTGAGGTTGTCATCTAAGGCTCAAGGCCTCACAATGACCTTTCTAGAATGTTTCTAATAGGATAAGAATTGTGCGAATTTATCAAGCATCCCCCACCACCTACTGTGTAGGACAAGACATGTTAAGATCTCTACTATCCAAGAGCAGCAGTTCAAAGAAATGCCAGTCTTCCCCCAAATAGAAAAATTGTACTGTCAAGCACAGTTCATCTAGGTTCCATTTTTTTGCTTTTGTTCCTGAACAGCTGTGTAATTATCTCCCTTTTCAGCAAGGTCAGTCAGCCGCCTGGCAGCTCTTGTACAAACAAACCTCTATCCCTCTCGCCCTGCAGAAGGTGTGTGACAAGGAACGTGCGAATGTCTCTCAGGCGGTGATAAATGGAGCTGCTCAGGGGAAGCTGGGCTTTGTAAATCCTCTCCCCAGCCAATCCCAGGAAGTTTCAGGTGTGCCTGATCCTTTGAGTGATGGCGTTCAATATGTGTGCTGTGACCAGGCAGAGCTCGGCTGGGCCAGCCCAGGGGAGTGCCCACCTGGTGAGGTCAGCCAACCCTGGGAATAGGGAGGAGGCAGAGGAATGGGAGAGGAGATGCCACAGAGTGACACCCACAGAGTAGGAGGTGAGTGTCAGGTCAGGGGTTCGATTCCCAGTATCTCTCCTCACCCAGGACAGGGAAAGACACAAGGCTCCTTGGAAAAGACAAGGAAATGAGAATTTAAAAACGAGGATAATCCCTTGGTGACTGTGTGGATCAAGAGATGATGAGGGACAAAGGGAAGAACAACTCACTCAAGGTCAGCAAGTGTCCAGTCGTTGGCCTGTGGCATGGTTTCACCTGCCAGGATAGGTTTGAATAAGTCCCCAGCCCTCCTCATATCGCTCTTTTAAGGATTGTATGGGATAATGGTGTAAAAGTCTCTGGAAACTGCACAAATGTATATGGGGACCTGTCACATGACCCTGATGTCACAGAAGAGCTGCATTTGCCAGCCATCCTGTGGGACTAGCCCAGGAATGAAACCGAGAAAAAAACTCAGGGCCCTGTGGCACCTTCCCCGCACCTGCAGGCCGTGCTTCTCCACGCAGGCCACCTCGGGGTCTGCACGGTGGGCCATCAGCTTTGTGTTTTGAAAATGAATGTTGCCATATCCAGGCCAACATGTTTTTCTTGGATTTTGCTGCAGTTGAGTATCCCTAACACTCTCCATTTTTGTAATCAGCATGTTGGGGACACCTGGCTTTCCTGTAAGGACAGGTGATGGGAAACAGGACTTGCAGTCTTGCTTATCGTAGGGAACTTTAAAATCATTCTCAGAGGCCCTAGCCGGTTTTGCTCAGTGGATAGAGCATTGGCCTGTGGACTGAAATTCTCAAGGGCATGTACCTGGTTGCGGGCTTGATCCCCAGTAGGGGGCGTGCAGGAGACAGCCAATCAATGATTCTCTCTCATCATTGGTGTTTCTATCTCTCTCTCCCTTCCTTTCTGAAATCAATAAAAATATTTTTTTAAATCATTCTCAGTGGACTTAGAAGTCAGAACAGAGCAGATTGAAAGCAGAGGTGGAGTGACATTTAATGCCCTCCTCTCAGAGCATGCAGGGCATGTTGCCTTTGCTGCATTCCCAAAAGTTCCAGAGAACCTAGAAATTTCCACCTGACAGAAACATTAGAGGTCATCGAGTCCCTTCATTTTAAGGATAAGGAAACAGAGGCCCGTGAGCTGAGGTGTCTCCTCGGAGATCACAGGGTTAGAGAGAAGTGGAGCCGAGACTGGAGCCCCGCCCCATCCCACCACAGACCACCCCATGTGTATGGGGTTGTCAGTAGGACAGTAAGTGGGAAACTTGGCTGAGGAGAAGCTTTTATGAGCTCAGCTTACTTTCAAGAATGCCCTTATCTTGCTGCCTAAAAGATTAACACAGTTGCTTGTCTGCACAGTTAATTAATTTTAACAGTTTGTGCAAAACACCAAGTTAGGCACCACAGGACGGGGCACACAGGGCAGAGGCTGCTCTCTCCTTTGGTTGCCAGGATGCTGTCTGGCCTTGTTGGGAAAGGAGAAAAAAAGAAAATGATAGAGCTTTTCAAGAAGAAAAGCAAGAGAAAAAAATAGAAATAAACACACGTGTTAAGAAGTAGTCACTGTGTGTTGTTTTTATAATGAGCACGCTACAGAGCAAGGCCCTAGTTGTATGTTCTTTGTAGCCCTTCAGATGAAAGGTGCTGAATGAATATTGGCTGCAGAAGGAGGTTAAATGACAGGTCACGCAGCTACTTGATGGCAGACTGAGAATTAAGACCCCTCTCTCTGCTCTCTCCACCTCTTATTTTCTCTCCCTTTTCACATACAGCATGGTAAGGATCATAGTGGCCTTGCCAGAAAATGGGTAATAGCGCTGGCAAAGCAGGTTCCTGTGAGTGGAAGAAGACAGACTAGCACTGGCACACATGCCTCCTGGCTCTGGGTCCATGTGGAGCCCACATAGTTTCCTCTAGGCGGTGAATGCTGGGTAGTTTGCCTGTGGGGGTGGATTTTATAGGCAGGGTGGCCTCATGGGAATAAGATTGGCCTTTTTCATAGCCCCTGAGAATCCCATCTTCCAATACGTGAAGTATCTATGTAGGTCATTCAAAATGAGTTGCCTGTCCCTCTAAGCTCGGTCCCAACACAGTTAAGGAAAACCCGCAGGCTGATGATGGAAAGTCAAAGCCGCTTGGCTGGCAGGCCTCAGGAGCCAGCTCGTCCACTCAAAAGGCATTGACCAGGGTGTTCACAGCTGTGGTATCTGGGTCCAAACTGGACCTGCCCCAAATGACCATTGGTGGTAGAACAGGTAAATTAATTCTCATATTAATAGGATGGACTACTTCTCAACAGTGAGAATGAATAGACCACAGCACCATGCATCCCATGGCTGAATCTCCCAAATATAACGGCCAGGAGAAACCAGATACCAAAGCCAGACACAAATACATTGTATAAGTAAATCCATAAAACCAAGTACAAAAGCAGACATAACTGATGTGAGTTGTCAGGTTCAGGATTGGGTTCCCCGAGATCAGATGAAGGGTAATGACCAGCAAGCCCCATATCCTGGCAGTGTTTTGTGTCTTGATCTGGGTACTGGTTACCAGGAGTGGGTTCATTTGTGAAAATTCATCAAACTGTACACAGCTGCTTTCTGTACTTGCCTGTATGCATGTTATTCCTCAAGACAAAGTTTAGTTTTGGAAGGAACCCTGCCTTCCTCAGAGTGGCAGGCTATTTAAGGACCTGCTGTGACCCCACCTCACCTCCACCCTTCTTGTCCTGTGTTCCAGCAGCTGCAGCAGTCACATGTACCCCGGCAGCACCTCCAGCCCCAGCGGAATCCATATCCCGTGCAGCAGGTCAATCAGTTTCAAGGTGAGGCCCGCGTAGCCAGTAACATTGCCTTGTGGGATATGCTTGTGTCAGGTAATGTTACACACTAGAGGTCCGGTGCACAGATTCGTGCACATTGAAAGGAAACTAATTAGAAGAAATCTTTTAGAAGTCGGGGAGGGACCGTGGGAGGTTGGCTCCAGGGCATGTCTGCCCAGCTCACCCAGTCCCGATCAGCCTGACCCCAATAACAAGCTAACCTACTGGTCAAAGCGTCTGCCCCCTGCTGGTCAATGCATGTCATAGCGACTGGTTGAGACGTTGAACGAACCGCTAGACACTTAGCATATTAGGCTTTTATTATATAGGATATTTAAGAACGGAAAATACCAACCAATCAAAAGCATTCTGGAGACCCCTTGCAGTTCCAGGCAACCTTTTGGCCACTGGGCTCCAGAGAGATCCTAGTGGGCTCAGGGATGGGGCAGGGGGGCTGTGGGGGGGCTGAAGCAGCTGTTCTTTGCCGAAGTACAAGAAGTATTTCAATAGTTCAACAACCAATAAGAACATACCGGTGCCTGTTGGCCCAATATCAGCTTTGTTAATGTCCAGGTCATCATCTCAGTGACCACAGTGGGAGAAATCTGGTACCACATTTTTCTTTGCTAATCCCAGTAGGTCAGCTGGCCAAAGCCCTCAACTTCAGCAACCGAAGTAGAAAGACTCTGGCTTGCAGCAACCACTAATCTCTACTGCATATAGAAATAATAATGCCTTGAGGATGGTTGGACCATCTTGATTCTGCTGCCCTTTGCAGAAATCCCAAATCTTGGCCCCCTTAGCAATGGGAGTACCATATGCCATTGTTTCATAAAGTAGAAGGTTCACTCAAGTTTCATCCTTTTCATGTCCATTAGAGAGAGCCCCTGAGGTTCTCGTGTGAGGGGGAGGATGAGCCTGAGGACTCTTCGCTTTCTATCCACAGGGGTTCTCAGGGGGTTCCAGGAGCCCCCATCAATAGAAACCCTAATCGCTATCTCCTTCCCTTTTCGTAGGACCTAGTTCAGTGGTCGGCAAACTCATTACTCAACAGAGCCAAATATCAACAGTACAATGATTGAAATTCGTTTTGAGAGCCAAATTTTTTAAACTTAAACTTCTTCTAATGCCACTTCTTCAAAATAGACTCGCCCAGGCAGTGGCATTTTGTGGAAGAGCCACACTCAAGGGGCCAAAGAGCCACATGTGGCTCTCGAGCACAGTTTGCCGACCACTGACCTAAGCTAACATTTTTCAATCTTTGTATTGCAACACACAAACAGGTTGTAAAAAAATTATACGAGCCACAGCCAGCATTTTTTCAATGCAATATAATAAAGAAACTGTTCCTCTTATAAGACCACCTGTGTATGTTCTGGGTCGTGCACTGTGAGGTGTCGGTTAGAGAAAAGCCTCCGACACGCACAGCCAGAGCCCAGGAAGCAGGCCTGTGAGCATGTTGACCGGAATAGCTACCGTTCCCTCCCCTGGACTCAGGGAAGGGCGAGAGGGACTGGGCTGTCCACAGGTGTTCTCTACTGTAAATTAGTGCCAGAATTCTTTGAAGAATTGTTTCTCACTTGGTCCTGAGTGAGAAGGAGCGGAAAATAGTCATGGATTTACATGGGTAGTCTTTGGTGCAGACACGGGCCCTCCTGTATCCCTGTAGTTCTCACAGTTCCCCTGCATCAGAATTCCCAACAGAGCTTGTTAAAACACAGACACGCACCACTCCCACCGCCTCCACCCCAACTCAGAGTTCCTCATTCGGGAGGCCTGCAGCAGGACCTGAGAATTTACATTTTAACAAGTTCCCAGGAGTTGCTGCTGCTGGCCAGAGGACCACACTTTGAGAACTGGAGCTTTATATTATGAACTTATTAAAAACATTAAATCATATAAACCTGGCATCATGTCCATTAGGTTTTCTAGGTTCTTAACTCATTTTTTGGAATAAGGGACCCACCCAAAGTTAACCTATTATGAATTATTCTGAGTGCTTTGGTTGCAATTTAAAAGTTCTACTTCTTGCATTTTTCTAAAATCTCAAAGCACAGGTAATCAACCTAAACATTCAGCTACACTTAAGTTAAACAACTCAGTGGGTTCCTGAGCTAAATATATATGAATATCTTCAGTATTCTCATGTATTTACTCACACCCTAGATGTCATAATGTTATATATCTTGGAAAATAGCAAATTGGTAGATAAGAAATATTGTCTTTGGAGAGAAGTTCTGCGTGAGAACCTACACATCTCAAAGGTTTTAATGACTATCTTTCTCTTATTGAGTTCTGTGTCTCTGGGCAATGTCACATGCTATGAGGAAATGTTTATTTTTCACAAATATAGGCATCTTGTGAGGGAAAATAGAAGATAGACCAAAAAAATGTCATATTGTCCTTTCTATTAGAATGTGGAAGATTGTCTTTGACATTGTGGTGTTAACCGCTAGGCAAGAAAATTAATCTGATTACAGTGTCTCACAGTATAATCTGTTTTAAACAAAAAAACAATAAAAGAAAAAAAAGTAGTCTGTTGTTTAGCATATGTAGCGATCAGATAAAGGCAAGTTAATTCTTTGGATGCACCTGATTTTTTTTTTTCTATAGTTAAAATTAATGAAGGCATAAAACTAGGTTAATAAAATTTTTTTGGTTTTCTTGAAAATATGGTGCTGATTGCTGATTTTAAAATGCCATTTTTTTCTATAAGAATTACACCTAGATAGTGTAGCCAGTTACACTAAGTAAAAATAAAGGTTGGCTTGGGTTAATATTTTAATACCTCTTAAAAAGCACTGCAGCACTTCTGCCCACTTAATAAAGGAACCTAATTCAAAAACAGTCCAGACAATATCCAGTCCCTCAACATGCTCATTATAAACATACAACAAAAATTTCCAAAATATTCAAGTCTTGTTATCTATTTCCAGCAGCCTAGCAGCCTGTGTGTGCAATTTGGGCCTATCTGATCAATCTCTGAGTCAGCAATATTTTTCCTTTAAATTTTTAAATAAGCAACTCAATAATCCATTTCGACACAGTTGATCAGATTGGCCACGAAGTCAATACAAATTTAGTCGTTAAGGTCACAAAACTTCATAACAAGATTACAAGTTGCACTGTATACCAGCATCCAGTATTTAATCAGGAACTTTTGATTTTTTTTAAATCGCTTAGATATAATTAAGCTTAAAACAAACAAATGGAAACATTTCTAAGGATCACCCCCAGATCTTTCAGGTTTCCCCGAAGTAATCTTCATTTTTCAATGCAGAATGATATTGATCTCAAGCCTCAAAAACGTAAGTCAGACTCAAAATTCCCGTAATTTTCTCTCTTAAAGAGAGAAATAATATATGGAGACATATTTGCTGCCCAGAAATCAATACCCCCATCAGGAAGACAAAAACACACTTCAGTTATCCGCCAAGGTGCCAGGCCTAACAAGGTTACACTATTCTCATCTGGTTTCTCAGCTCGGTTCCAGGGAGGATCAAATTTGCTTACAATATCGATTGGCTCCCCTGCTGCATCTTTTTTAAACATCCGGGGAGAAAAAAAACTATTTTTCTTTGTCTCTTAGACTTAATCATTAGCCAGGGACATAGAACAATCCATCGTGTGCTCCTCATAGTCCTTCACAGCCTTGACTGGAGCGCAGAGAGTGACATTTCTATCCTTCTGGCTGGTTTGGAATCTCCCGGGGAGCAGGTGAGGAAGTCCTCACTCACATGCCCGATTAGAGTAAGGTGACCAGATGTCCCGCTTTTGGCGTCTGGTCAAAAGAGGGACGTCTGGTCACCTTAGATTAGAGGGACGTGACTTAGGGTATTCATACTCTGGCCACCTTTCAAACAGCTACTTTAAAACGCTGTTCGGGATTGGCCGAGAGCCACAGTCACTGCCGATTTCGAGGAGTGGACTTCGCTGGAAAGAGCCACAGAGTTCATTGCCAAGTAGCCAGTAGCAGGATGATTTTTTTTTCTCCTAGCTCAGGAAGCGGGCCAGTGTGCACGGACGTGTTATGACTCAGAATCTGGAGCACCTGGAAGCCTGCAGAGCGGGTCCAGAAAAACATCCAGTCTGCCACAATAGCTTCTGAGCAGAAGCAGCAGCCTTTAACCTTTCACGTCCTGCTCGTGTCTTCAGGGAAATTAGCCTAATGGTCTTTACTGAGAGTGTTCTCTACTGAGCCACGTTCCACTTCGCAGGCAGCACACACACAGCCATTGCCATGTCTTAGTGTAGCCTAGGAGGCGGATTCCCTCTCCCCCCCAGGAAAAATCCAATCGGTTGAGGATGGCAACCTATCAAGAAGTGTAACAAATAATTTGCTTCTGAAATGTGAACAAACAAAAAAAAAAAATCAGGGTCATCAAGTGAAAAAAGTCAACTTCAGAGGCGAGCATCCAGTGGGATCCCAACCTGTGCATGTGCGTCTGTGTTTATAGAAGTAGTCTGAGCAGTGGTCCTCCCTGGAGGTGGGAACGTGGGCGACTTTAGCTTTCATCTTTGTGCTTTTCAGTACTTTCCAGATTTTTCACAATCAGCATGTGTTCTAAGCAGAAAAACAATCATTGTTTCTGTGAGGGGTGAATCGTCAGAGTAGACCCTTTCCTATGGAGGCATTCTGTGTCTCCCAGAGAAAACCCCAGCACCTGGCACAGGGCACGGCTTTACCAAGACGAGTGAGTGGTGTGTTTCCTTTTCCCCGCAGGCTCTCCGCAGGACATGGCGGCCGTGAGAAGCCAAGCGGCCCTCCAGAGCATGCGGACATCGAGGCTGATGGCGCAGAATGCAGGCATGATGGGCATGGGGCCCTCCCAGAACCCGGGGACAATGGCCACGGCCGCTGCCCAGTCTGAGATGGGACTGTCCCCTTACAACGCCACGCCCACCAGCCAGCCAGGGATGTACAACATGAGCCCAGGAATGACCCAGATGCTGCAGCACCCGAACCAAAGCGGCATGAGCATCGCACACAGCCAGGCCCAGGGCCCACCGAGGCAGCCCGCCTCCGGGCAGGGGGTGGGGATGGTGAGCGGGTTCGGTCAGAGCATGCTAGTGAACTCCGCCATGAGCCAGCAGCACCAGCAGATGAAAGGGCCGGTGGGCCAGACCCTGCCCAGGCCCCAAGGCCCGCCGAGGCTGCAGAGCATCATGGGAACGGTCCAGCAGGGAGCCCAGGGCTGGCAGCAGAGGAGCTTACAGGGGATGCCTGGGAGGACTAGTGGAGAGCTAGGGTCATTCAGCAACGGAGCCAGCTACTCCCTGCAAGCCGGCCAGCCGAGGCTGACCAAGCAACACTTCCCGCAGGGACTGAGCCAGGTCGTGGACGCGAACACGGGCGCCATGAGGACCCTCAACCCGGCCGCCATGGGCCGGCAAATGATGCCACCGCTCCCAGGGCAGCAAGGGACGGGCCAGGCCAGGCCGATGGTCATGTCCGGCCTGAGCCAGGGCGTCCCCGGCATGCCAGTGTTCAGCCAGCCCCCGGCCCAGCAGATGTCTGGTGGCAGCTTTGCTCCCGGCGGCCAGAGCCAGGCCTACGAGCGGACAGCCCCTCAGGACATGCCCTACAGCTACAGCGGGGACGCGGCCGCGGCCTCCTTCCCGGGCCTCTCGGACAGTGCCGACCTCGTGGACTCCATCATCAAAGGCGGGCCGGGGGACGAATGGATGCAGGAGCTCGATGAGTTGTTTGGAAACCCTTAGTCAGGAGAGGGCCCGGCGGGCAGAAGAAACAGGATGTGGGCCCATCCTCGGTTTTTTTTGTTTTTTTGACCCACTTAAACTGAGCGACACTGCAGCCGGCTGAGAGCAGGAGATCGGGGTGCCAGTCCGCCCTGCGGGGCCTCCGTTCACCCCGTGTTCACACAGCAGTCACCACGAGGCCAGGCAGAGCCCGGCTGCCAGAGAGGGAGCGGCAGCAGAGGCGGGCGGGGAAGGCGACCCTGAGCCTCACACTGCACCCCCTGCTCCGGCCCAGGCGGGCTACTGCCCGCGGCCAGGGCCAGGCATCCGTCAGCCCCTCTGGGCCCGGGTGCAGAGCCTGCAGCGTTGGAGACACAAGAGACAGAGCCTCAGGCAGGAGGAGACCCACAGAGGCTGCTGAGTGGTGGCACAGGCCGAGAGCCCAGGTCACACGTGTGCTGAGCTCTGGCTGGAAAGAGACCTCAGGCTTCAGGACCTGCGCTTGGATGTGGAGAGCAGACACACAACGGGGCCGGGCAGGGAGAGCGCAGAGGCCCCCACAGGCCCGCCTCCTGCCCGTGATGACCCTCAGGAAGGCTGGCGGCGGCGTTGCCCATGGCTGCCTCCCCAGGACAGCCAGTGAGCTGGGAGGAGGGCCGGGCCCGCCACTGGGGACCGGGTGGCCACCACTCCTGGTTGTTGGGCTGGAGCCTCCCGGAAGCCCAGAATGACAGACACGTCCAGGCCGTTCCCATCTATTACGGGCGCCACAGAACGGGGAACCCAGAGGATGCTGTGTCCTGCCCCATGACCACCTCCCTCCCCCACCCCACTTTCGTCCCTCCCGTGTCTACCCCGGCATCCTTCCAAGAAGTAATGGCGTTTTTGTCTCTAGGGAAGTTGGGCAGAGTCCAAATAAATGCAAGAACTTAGGCAGTGTTCTTTCTCTACCGCGTGTGGAGCTGAGGGGATAGTCTGCCCGGACGGAGCAGGCTCTGGGGGGCTCATACCCTCTGCACCTGGCACCTCTGGGCACCCAGGGAGGACCAGCCTGGGGGGGCTCCCCTGCAGGGAAACCCGGGGGCAATGCACTAAAATCGGCCTTGCCCGTAATCCCTGCTCCGCAGAAAGACAAATCTAAACCCCTGAGGGAGGAGGCGCTGGAAAATCAATCACTCCACCTTACCTGTTTCGGTGGCATAAGCAAGAAAAATATGGTCCCTTCCATTCGGGCGGTCACCCACTTCACGCGTCCTGTACAGTGTTCTCTGTGTCATTCACTCCCAGCTGCCCTCCCTGGAGGCTGCGGGAAGGGATCAGCTAGCTCCTCTATCGTCAGGCTTGTCTCTTATTTACACGGGCCCCCTCCCACCATCCCGTGTGGAGGCCATGTGGCGTAACTGTTGCCCTGAGTGAGAGTAGCATGTGCTCTTCTCCTCCTACCCTTTCTCTCCGTGTCCGGGAGGCTGGCTCCCTTCGGAGCAGCTCGTCCCCCCTGAGCCCCGGCTGGGGACCCTGGGAACTGGACTGGCAGCCCCAAAGGAAAGAAGGTCCTGAGAAGGGAGTTCCTATGGGACACTGGACATGGGACCTGGGGGGGGGGAGGGGACAGAGGATGTAGAGGCGGCCTTGACTTGCTCTCCAGGGCCTAGGGTTGCAGATGCATTCAGCGAGGGCCAGGTGGCAGGAGCCCAGGCAGGGGCTGTGCTGTCTCTGGGAGGAGGTGTTAGCAGGGTTTCCATGAGCACCTGCAGGGGCACAGACAACACCAGGGAGGCTCCTGCGTGGAAACAGATGAAAACCAAAAAAAAAAAAAAAAAAAGAAAGTAAGCAAACAAGAGGACAGAATATATAATTGCCTTTTTCTGAAAGGTACAGGAAGTAAACATATACGCAATGATGAGAAGCGGGAGGTGGCTGGTGGAGGCGTGGCTCTATTCCCTTTGAAAAGCTCCTTCCAAACGCTCAGTCCTGGGACCAACTAACTAGAGAGGTAGATTTTAATGATGTTGTTCTGTTTTTGTTTTTACTACGGTGCTGATGTATATGTAATGTCTAAAGAAGTTATTTGTAAATAAGTTTTTACAATACTGCAGATATCACTGGGTCTACTATCTGTAAAAAAATATATATACATATAAATAAATATATATATATATATACTGTTTGTTTAAAATAGAGTATTTTTATTTCATCCCTTAACTCATCATCACAGCAGTGGTATTGCACTTCAGATGACATCTAATTACTAATTTGTACTGTATGACCTATGGCAACTTGCTCCATTTTATTCAGATTTTTCTAGTTTTCTCTTTTTACTTTGTACATTGAGCATTGCTTACTTCCTCTTAAGAAATGTACAGAACTCTGACATGTAGAAATGAAGTGATGTTGACATACCACTTTTAAAGAAAAAATAAAAATAAAAGATTATCTGAATCAACCCCAAAGTATAGTCTATTTTTGGATTGTCGCTGGATCCCCAACCTTAATTAAGCTGATATATTATGCCTGGGTTGTAATTGATTAACTGCAGTTCTTGTCTCAAAATTTTGATATCATTATTTAAACATTTATGTAATAGTACAGAGCAATCAGTCACTCCCAGCCTTTTTAATTCAGCCACACAACTATAGCTTTCTAAATTTGTCCTCCGGGGGAGGTGGCAAAGGAAGCAGAGTAGTGTCAACTTTGTTTTTTGTTTCTTGTTTTAATAAATCTTTATTGTTCATATTATTACAAATGTTCCTCATTTTTCCCCCCTCCATTGCCCCCCTCCATTAGGTTCCTCCCCCATTGTCCTCATCCAGAGGTGCACAGTTTATGTTCAGTCTCTTCCCGCACCCATCACTCCCCTTTTCCCCGAGAATCATCAGTTCACGCCCCTTCCATAACTCTGATTCTATTATATTCACCAGTAAATATTGTTCATCAGATTTTTTAATTCCCTTGGTTTTTAGATTCACTTGTTGATAGTTACATATTTGTTGTTTATAATTTTTATCTTTATTTTCTTTCTCTTCCGAAAGAACCCCCTTCACAATTCATATAATTCTGGTTTGGCGGTGATGAACTCCTTTAGCTTTTTTTTTTATTAGTGAAGCTCTTTATCTGTCCTTCGATTCTGAATGATAGCTTTGCTGCGTAGATTATTTTTGGCTGTAGGTTCTTGCTATTCATTACCTTGAATATTTCTTGCCATTCCCGTCTGGCCTGCATGGTTTCTGTTGAGAACTCAGCTGACAATCATATGGGCGCTCCTTTATAGGTAACTACCTGCTTTTCTCTTGCTGCTTTTAATATTCTCTGTCTTTTGCTCTTGGAATTTTAATTATGATGTGTCTTGGTGTGGTCCTCTTTGGATTCTTTTTGTTTGGGGTTCTGTGCACTTCCTGGACTTGTAAGTCTAATTCTTTCACCAGGTGGGGAAAGTTTTCTGTCACTATTTCTTTCAGTATGTTTTTGGTAGCTTGCTCTCTCTCATCTTCTGGGACCCCATAATTCTGATGTTGGTTCACTTGAAGTTGTCCCAGAGGTTTCTTACATTATCGTCAATTTTCTGGATTCTCTTGTCTTCTTGCTTCTGCAGAGGAGTGTCTTCTGACTCTTTATGTCCAAATCTTTGACTTGATTCTTGCAATCTTCCATTCTGTTTTTAGGACTCTGTATAATATTTTTTATTTCAGACAATGTATTCTTTATTTCTTGTTGATCCCTTATTATTTCTTGTTGATCCCTTTTCATATCCTCATAGGTCTCATTTATTTCTAGGAAGTTCTTGAAAAACTTTATAAGCATGGTTTTGAACTCTAAATCCAGTCACTTTTTGTCCTCCATTTCTTTCGTTTGTGATCTGTTTCCTTGTCTCAGCATTTTCGCAGCTTCCCTGAGTTGGTAACCTTAAAAGTCTCTGTGTTCAGCTTGGATGGGGCAGAGTTTCACGGTGGAGCCTAGAGCGTTGGCTTCTGTCAGCCCCGCCCTATGAGGCTCCTGAGTCTCAGTGTTCCTCAGTGTCCTTTGGTACTCGCTGCAAGCACCTCTGAGAGAAAGGTGCCCTCGAGTTTCGCCTGCTACCAAACAGTCTAGGTTCTCCCCCAATGAGCCCGGAACTGGGGTTCAGTGCAGTTGGAAGTGGGGTTGGAAGTGGGGTTCAAAGCAGTCTGGAGCTTTTGTCTCCTTCCCGCTAGGGCAATCCAGTGGCACAGTCAACTGTCCATTCTCTGCACAAAATGTGTGCACCTCCGGGACTGCCTTTTGCAGCTCCCCAAGTAGCGTCAACTTTGAAAGGAACAAGCTGAAGTTCATTCGTGGACTCCACACATTAACAGTTCACATCCACCTGGTCCATTCAGAGGACTTGGAGAAAATGATAGTAAAAATTGTATTTTTAAAAAAGTAAAAAAACTCAAGGAATATATTGGAGGGAAAGTAAGAAAGGGATTTTAGCCCCATTAGAGTGGCTGAGCACGCACACACACACAGTTTGCCTTACGTTAGTAGTCAGCAAACTCATTAGTCAATAAAGCCTAATATCAACAGTACAACAATTGAAATTTCTTTTGAGAGCCAAATTTTTTAAACTTAAACTTCTTCTAACACCACTTCTTCAAATAGACTCGGCCAGGCCGTGATATTTTGTGGAAGAGCCACACTCAAGGGGCCAAAGAGCCGCATGTGGTTCGAGAGCCGCAGTTTGCCGACCACTAATGTCTATTGCCCAGCTGTACTTCTTGGAGGACTCCCTGAGCCACGGCCTGGCTTAGCCTGCACCCACCTGCAAAAAGAGAACCTGCTTAAACTGCTTCCCTGACAAACCCAGCAATAGGACTTATGTTCCAGAGCTCCCCCTGCAGGATCAAGCAGAGTCTCAGACTTTGCCTAAAGTTGCCTCCTTATGGGGCTTCTTGCCCTTCTCTGCCCTGTTTCCCCAATTCCCGCTCTGTTCCCCCACCCCAGGAGCCCTTTGTTCACAGTTCACACACATGTGACTCTACCCCTTCCTCTCTAGAAAACCTGGCCTAAAAGCACTGGGGGAGAGTCAAAAACTGATCGGAAACAAAGGTGCACTGCAATGTACGGAAGCATGGAGACTGAGGAAGAAGAGGCCAGTCCCACCCTCAGTGGGCCGTGGTTCCAGACTGGCTGGCAAATTATACCATGTGACACTAGGTAACATGAAAGCGAAAAATGAACAGGATGAGGGGGAGGGCTAACAGGGAGCTCTGAGAAGGATTGAGCACTCCTGGTCCGGATTAAAACCACACCTTTATGCCCAGCCAATGTGGCTCAATGGTTGGGCATTGACCTGTGAATCAGGAGACTCACCGTTGGATTCCCGGTCAGGGCACATGCCCAGGTTGTGGGCTCAGTCCCCAGTAGGGGGCGTGCAGGAGGCAGCCAACCAATGATTTTCCTTTTCCTTTCTTAAAAAAAAAAAAAAAATATATATATATATATTTTTTTTTATCATATATATATATGTTTATATATATATTTAATATATATATTTATATATATATTAAATATATTAAATATATTAAATATATTAAATATATTAAATATATATTTTTATATATATAATATATATATTTAATATATATATTTTATCATATATATTTTTTTAATCGTATATATATATATATATATGATTGATTTTTGTACAGAGAGGAAGGGAGAGAGATAGAGAGTTAGAAACATCAATGAGAGAGTCATCGATCAGCTGCTTCTTGCACACCCCCTGCTGGGGATATGCCTGCAACCAAGGTACAAGCCCTTGACCAGAATCAAACCCGGGGCCCTTCAGTCCCCAAGCCAACGCTCTATCCATTGAGCCAAACCGGTCCCCGCCAACCAATGATTTTCTCTCATCATTGATGTTTCTCTCTCCCCGTCTCCCTTTCTCTCTGAAATCAATAAAAATATTTTTAAACCCACACCTTTGTATTTAAGTGAAAATGAGTTCTGCACTGGATGAATGAAATAGGTCCCTCCTTTAAAACGAGTTCCTATATGCCATCCTATTGGCCTTTCTAAAATTCCAGTTCAATGAGTGAGTGGGTGGAGAGGGGAGAAGGCAGGAGAGTGTTGGGAAGCATGAGACTTGGTTGGAAAGTTGGTAAGGGGGACATTCTGATAAAAGGGGAGTTTTTGGAAGGCCGCCTGCCCTGCTTATTGAAATTCTGACTTAGGGGAGATTTTGCTGCTGAGAATTAAGGAACATTCAGAAACACTAGATGAGCTATTTCTGCCTCTGGCCCTTTTTTTCAAGGAAGACTAGAGAAAAAGAGGTGAAAAAACAAATAACCTGATACTTTTCCTTAAGAATGACTTTTTTGGTTACACCCCACCCTCCTCCAACTCTGCAAAGTGTGGAGGGAAAACACCTGGTTGTATAACCAGACCTTATCTTTAAAAAAAAAAAAAAAAAAAAAAAATATATATATATATATATATATATATATATATATATATATATATATATATATATATATATATAAATTTCAGAGAAAAAGGGGAGAGGGAGAGAGAGAAACATCAATGATGAGAATCATTGATCAGTGCCTCCTGCATACCCCCTACTGGGGATCCAACTGGCAACCTAGATATGTGCCCTGACCAGGATTCGAGCCGTGACCTCCTGCTTCATAGATTGATGCTCAACCACTGAGCCACACCAGCGGACCAGACCTTTATCTTTTCTTTTCTTTTTTCCCTCTCCTTTTCCCTTTGGTTTTCTCCTCTGATCTCTTTTCCTTTTTGTTTTAAGTTCTAAGGACATTAGCTTTCCATTCTGGTGTCTTCTGGATGAGCTACCACAGACACCTGTCGTTTTCATGCAGCAGGTGGAGGTAATTACGGCAGCGTCCACACACGTGGGGCTCACGTGTCCCTGCCTCACCCAGGACAGCTGGCTCTATGGATGCCACAGATTCCAAGTCAAGCATACAGCTGCTTGAAGGATTTGATTTTGCTTAGATTTTTAAACTTTTTTATGAACACTTTCAAAAAAATCAGGAAAAAAAACCTAATACAATGAATAACTATATACACCTACCAACTTGATTCAATAATTGTTAACATGTTGCCAAAACACGTAATTACCAGTGTTTTTTGTAGAACCATTTCAAAGTAAGTTATACACACTCCAGCCAGTTCACCTGCCTCCTCTCAGCTTGCAGCGCCCAAGAATCAGGTGTTCTCTCCCCTCACCAGGTTATCAGTATCACACCTCACATAATTAACATCCATTCCCCAATAGCATCTCATTCTCACTCCGTATTCAAATGGTCCCAATTGCCTCCCAGGTGTCTTTCATCCCGCTTTATTCTAAACAGAATTTTTGTTGTTGTTAATCCTCATTCGAGGATATTTTTTCCATTGATTTTTAGAGAGAGTGCAAGGGAGGGGAGGGAGGGCGGGATGAAAGAAACAATCGAATGGTTGCCTTCTGCATGCGCATCCCAGGGGGTCGAACCAACAACCTAGGTACATGCTCTTGACCAGGAATGGAACCTAAAACCCTCCAATGCGCTTAACCATTAAGCACACCAGCCAGGGCCTGAGGACTTGATCAAGGATCTTATATAGCCATTTGATTTTTATTCTTCTTAAGACTCTTTTAAGGCAGGAAAGTTTATCTCCATTCCTTTTTTCATAACATTGACTTCTTGAGACAATAAAACTGATTTCTAAACAAAAAAACAATTTAACTAATATGCAAAAGATATATATGTAACTGTCAAAGAGATGGGAAATTCACATCTCTCCAGCCAGTGAATTTGCTCCCTGTAGCCCAATTTGTAGGAATTAAAATGATCAAGAGGTTGCCTTGGTGACAACAGAATTAGAACAAAGGAAATAAATTCTGTCAAATGTTTAAAGATGCAAAACTCCGATGTCATGGTACAACCATCTTCTTTTTCCACAGGCTGTTTAACCAAACTGTGTGTGTGTTTATAATTTAAATAGTTTCAATTTAGATGCAAAATAGACGTTGTTTAAAAATCTTCAAATGTAAGATTTGAAGAATTGTATTTTCCCCACTTCGAAAGGAGTAATTGTGCCTTAGGGTTAAATAGTTGCATTCTCTTCCTTGTCTTCAGTGTATAAGACAATTAAAATGTCATAATACAAATCACCATAACTGATCAGAATACTAAAAACTGAAAGGCCCCAGGATTATAGCATTTGAGAGCATTCGCCCATTTTACCTGTGAGAACACCGAGGCAGAGAGCCAGGACCTCCCCGTCTTGCTGCTCTGCCTCTGCTGAGGTGCAGGGGAATCTGACAGGAAATGGGGGGCGGGGGCAGGCTCAGAGCCAGATATCTCTACTCCCAGACCAAAATACTCTTGGTGAACTTTGGGTAGTTAGTACCTGTGTTTGGCCTACAAGAAGTTGTTTTCTCCCCTCCTGTTCTAGAACCTGGTGTTTAAATACCTTTATCTCTTTTTCTGTTATCCATAACCTTTGTAACTTCCTTTGTACACACACAAGAGAGACATTCCTATAAGCAGCTCCTTGAATATCCACACCAGACAGATTCAAGGCGTCCAGCTTTCTCTGGAAAGCTTGACAAGAGAGTTTTTTCCCTGATGAGATGTTACATGCACATAACTCCATTTCCCTAAGGTCCCCACGGACGGCGAGGTGGACTCACTCCCATCTTACAGATGAAGAACATGAGGAGAGGTCATGTTAATGGTGCCAGGCAGTGGCTACACACAGGGTCACAGCAGCCACGGCCCAACCCCCCGAAGTATCAGAACCCAGCCGGTCCCTCCTGTCCAAGGCCCTCCCCGTGTCCCTGCAAAACACTCACTGAGCGTTCCGGCTGGTGCCTAGAGAATAACATGCCTTCCCTGTTCTTGATAAAGTCCGTTTTCACAGCCAGGCTGACTTTGTGCTGTTTGGCGGCAGCTCTCGCTCTGGCTGCTCTGCGTGTCTGCCTGATTTCCCCCAGGTGCAGCCACCTGGTTGCTTTCTGGCCACCAGTGAAGTGAGCTCAGCTGTCTTATCAGCGTCCTTCTGGAACTTTCAATGCAGGGATAAGCGGTCTCAGAGGCAAGTGGTGGCCTCGGTCCACAGGAAGCCTCCCAGGGTCCAGTGGCATGCTCCCCGTGCCCCACACGGGCGAGCGGGACCTCAGCCTGCACGTCCCTAACCAGGCCCAGAGCACTCCCCCACTGATGATCCAACATACCCTCTCAGAGCAAACTTCCGTTCTTAAAGACACAGGGAATCAAGTCTCCAAAGGGTGTGTTTCTACAAAGCCACTTCAAGAAAAACAGAACCAAGACTTTTATTTTTGTTTTAATGGAATAAGTGGTACCATCTAACCTTCAGAGTAGAAATACCATCTGCAAGCATTTGAGCAAAGAGGAGGGGTTAGTGCCTCAGTTTCTTGGCGATATCAATGTCCAGGTATTCATCCAGAAAGCTGTTTGCAATCCCGAGAGCTGCTAGGACGGCCAACAATGCTAAAGCCCCCAGACTCAACCGGAATCCAAGGATCCTGCAGGGCAGAGATGAGGAAGGGAGGTGTTAAAGGGCTACAGCGGTGAAACCGGGCTCCTGTGGTTGGCTGCTCACTGTCGATACTGCCTAGAACTTCCATGTTTTGGCCATTTGAAAATTTGCATTCATCATGTAAATTAAAGGGGATGCCTAACCACACAGGTTAATTGGCTCCTTTGAATAGTCAAAGGATTGTCAAGGCTACGCAGGATTATTTCCTTGGTAACTTTTTGAAGATGACACAAAATTTTTGCAAGGATTGAAAGTGTGTGATGGTCAGCCCTAGCCGACTGGCTCAGTGGATAGAGCGTAGGCCTGCAAACTAAAGGGTCCCGGGTTCAATTCCCGTCAAGGGCACATGCCTGAGTTGCGGCTCGATCCTCAGTAGGGGGGCGTGCAGGTGGCAGCCAATCAATGATTCTCTTTCATCATTGATGTTTCTATCTCTCTCTTCCTCTCCCTTCTTCTCTGATGTCAATAAAAATATATTAAGAGAAAGTGTAATGATCAAAGAGTGCACACTCAGTACACACTTTTACATTTGAACTTTCCTGTCCGGTGCCTAATTGTGCACGGACTTGGGGAGATGTGGCCTCAGGCAATCACAGCCATCGGTGCTGTGAATACTCTTAGGACCAGCACACTAGTTCAGACTCTGTCTGCTACGTTTTGCCCAAACATCAACTCTTGGCTTCTCCTTACCTTTTTTTAGCAGCTTCTGCATATCCCCAGAAATACTGGTGACGGGCATACATGTACACCAGACCCAGACAAGTAGCGGAAACTATAAAGGAAAAAACAAAGAAGATACCGAGTCAGAGGGCAGTCTCTCAGAGTGTGAAAGCTGAGAAAATAGTCACAAAATGACCAAAGACGTGTGTCCAAGATACACAGAGAATTCTGATGACAGTTCAGCGGTTGAAAGAAAAACAACCTGATTTTTAGCAAGGGGCAAAATATTTGAATAAAGAATTCACAGAGAAAGATAAACAAGTATCCCAATAAGCACATGAAAATTTTTCCCACATTATTCATCATCATTCAGTATCAGCAAACTGTGATTTAAAACCACAAGATGACACCACGAGAATGGCTCAGACACTAAAAGACTGACAATTACAAATGTTGGTGATGTTGGAATCTTCATATCGGTGGGAAAACAAAATAATACAGCCACTTGGGAAAAGGTCTGGTAATTTCTTATAAAACGACACATACTTTTGACCCAGCAATTCCATTCCTATGTATTTACCCAAGAGGGATGGGAGCACATGCCCATAAAAAGACCTGTACAGAATGTTCACCGCAGCTTTATTCGCAATAGCCAAAACCTGGAGGCAGCCCAGCAATCTACAAACAGGAGAACACATAACCACACTGTGAGACTCATGCAATGGGATATCACTGAGCAGTGAAAAGAAACATGGTGAATCTCAAAAAAATTTTGTGGAGTGAATGAGGCCACAATGTGTGCTTCCAATTGTGGAAAGTTCCAGAACAGGCAGAACTACACCAGGAAGAAAACCACCCGAACAGTGTTTGCCTCTGAAAGGGGTTGACTGGGAAGGGCATGGGGCAGCGTCTGGGTGGCTGTCGTGTACTCTATCTTGCTAGGGAGTTGCGTCACACAGGTGCCCACACTTGTCAAAACTCATTGAATGGTGCATTTAAGATGTCTTATTTCTTTAAAAATAAGTTTTACCAAAAAGAAATATAAAGCATGGCATGATGTCCTGCCATCCTGTCCAATGTAAAACATCAACACCTTCCCTGCATGAGGAGCCCTCTCCTCAGCACCGCACCGGTGGAAATTGCCAGAGCCCTCTTAGGAATACACAGAGCTTATCTGTGCAATTCTGATATGCTGGATAGCATTAAAGTCATTATGTTAGTAGGTCACAAACATTTTCTTTTTGTTGTTGTTGATTTTAGAGAGAGAGGAAGGGAGAGGGAGAAAGAAACATCAATATGAGAAATATCAATCGGTTGCTTCCCTGATTGGGGGGGGGGGGGAGCAGGGATCAAACCGCAATCTGGGCATGTGCCCTGACCCGGAATTGACCTTCCAGTGCAGGGGATGATGCTCAGCCAACGGAGCCACACCAGGCAGCCTTAGTTTCTTCTACATACCAGGCATTCGTCTAAGAACTGGGGTTAGCAGTGAGATAGTTACAAGCTCCCTGCCTCTATGGAGTTTATCAGCAAAGACTGATGACAAATAAAAAGAATAATGAAAAGAAAATTAGACCCAAAGGGGCAGACAGGTGAGAGATGGGACCGCAGGAACTGGAGGCGGTGTATGGTTTTTCATTCTGAGGGGATGGCATTTGCGTTGGGGCCTGCAGGACGCCTAAGCAAGGTGCCGGAGGAAGTGGAGAGACTCTGAGCAGGTTACCCTTTGAAACACCCCATCTAATGAGTGACTCCCAAAGAGCCGGTGAGAACTGTTCAGTTAACAGGCAACTTACTAGTACTTTGGATGAGAAAGAACCAAGAGAAAATTACAAGGAGAAGAAGGCACCTGAGAAATCCCTGCCTGACAGGCAGTGGGCCCATCACAGTGAAACCCACAGGCTCCTATGGCAGAGGCTGAGTCCCATTATCAAAAGGCACTTTTCTCATTACTTGCTCATGTGGTCTCACCTGACAAGAAACCAGGCCTTCATTCGTGCCCTCAAGGGACAACAGCGTGAGTGAGAATAAAGGTAAGAAGTCTTTCTCTAAAGGATATTTTATCTGAAATTCCTCAGTTTTGACAGTAAAAATTACAAGAAAAAGGTGATAGGATTGCGTTTGAAAGCAGCAGAATTTGGGCTTATTTAAGTCTTAGCAATCACAGGTCAAACTCAAATGAGGCCATCAGAGTTATCAGAAAGCAAAAGGGATTGCCCTGGCTGGTACAGCTGTTTGGAGCATCCTCCCAGGCACTGGAAGGTTGCTGGTTTGATTCCCAGTCAGGGCACATGCCTGGACTGTGGGCTAGATTCCCAGTAGGGGGCGAGCAGGAGGCAGCTCTCCATTGATGTTTCTCTTTCTCTCCCTTCCTCTCTCTCTCTAAAAATCAATAAAAATATTTTTAATATATTTATTTATTGATTTCATAAAGGAAGGGAGAAGGAGAGATAGATAGAAACATCAATGATGAGAGAGAATCCTTGATCGGCTGTCTCCTGCACACCCCCCACTGGGGATCCAGCCCACAACCCAGGCATGTGCCCTTGGCCGGAATCGAACCTGGGAACCTTCGGTCCACAGGCTGACGCTCTATGCACTGAACCAAGCCGGCTAGGGCATCAGTAAAAATATTTTTTAAAAGAAAGCAAAATGGATTGAATTTCTCCAGCTAAGGCAGCTGGTGCTGATCTAACCTCCTGTGTGAATAGTTTGAGGAAGCCCTCAGCTTGCCAAGGATACCCCAGTCTAATAGAAAGTATGTAATTGTGGAGTTGTTACATACAAACAATAGCACTACATCCCTAGGAACTCTTAAGAAAAGGGACATGGGTTGTTGGGTCAAATTCCATAGACACTGCTCTGTACTTGAAAGCTAATTTTCAAGTGGCTAATTTTCAGTGGCTCAGGTTCTGCTTCAACTGGGTCCTTCCATTGCTTGGGATTTTAGAAATGAATCTTGATTATGGCTGTTAGTCATTCATGCAAGAGTCCCCCAACCCCCTTCAGTAGGCCTAGGGATACAGCAGCAAATGGGGCAAGTTCCTGACCTCAGGGAGTTGACATTCTGCTGGGAAACCACAGTGAGGGACTGTGACATGGAGCTAAGATGAGGCAAGCCATTGGCCTCCCCCACTATCAACTGCTCATCAGGACACACGCCTGCAGGGGGTCTGGGACATGATCCAAAGGAGGTCAAGAAACTAACGCATGATCTGGAAGTCAAAACAAATGTTGTAACATTCTTATTCTAAAGTGCCCAACATATCGTTTGTTTCAACTTTTTTTTAAGTATTGAATTAAGTTAGAATAGAGCGAAGTTAGACTATCTGCAGCACAGTGCTTTTTGATGACTGAGACGCTTGTTTTGTTTAAAACAATCTCCAGGATTCGTGGATGTGTGGTTGCATGTCTGCCCCTCAATAGTTCCAAGAACCATAGTCCTCATTGGAACAGAGCGGAATGTGTTTTGAAATTACCTTGGTTGAAATACCATCCAGCCATCCACAGCATAATCAGGAATAGGGGGTAAAACTCCACACCATTTTGTCTGCAGGACAAAAAGTAAAGACATGAGTCATTTTATGAGAAAACTCTACTCCAAAGCATTGAGTTTCAATCTAGTGGTAAACTGTCCATTCTCTTTTCACAAAAATAATATAATAATTTACATAAAGAGCTTAAATGATCCTTCCAGGATAGATGACTCTTTTTTAAAAAATATGTGTTTATTGATTTTTAAAGAGAGAGGAAGGGAACGGGAGAGAGAAACGTCCGTGTGAGAGACATTGATTGGTTGCCTCCTATATACACCGAGACCTTGGGGACCGAACCCACACTGGGCACGTGCCCTGACTGGGAATGGAACCAGAGTGGCATTTTGGTGCCCTGAACAAGGACGCCCAGCCACCTGAGCCTCACGCCAGGGCTACAGTGAGTCTTCTGAGGTGAGACTAAAACATTGTTTAAACCTCAGAGTAGGGCCAGGAATCACTCTCCTACTCACAAGTTGCCAGAAATAGAAATGAATCATGCTCTTTTCCATAAGAAAAGCCTTGAGATTGTCATAATTCTGAGCCTAAAAAGTATTCTCTATCTTATCTAAAGAAGACAGAAAAATAACTCAATTCATAATAAAGAGATTTCTTCCCCCAAATTCCCTCATATCCATTGCTTCCACTTAAGTGACTCGGCACATTTTTTAAATGGTCTTTACATAATTTCCCTAAAAGCTCCTGAAGTAAATGAATGAGCATAGTTCATTCCCATTGTACAGAGGACAGACAGAGTTCACTGAGCCCTATTTGACCGGGCCTCCCAGAGAATCGAAGGGAAACCGTGTCAGCTCCAGATTCCAACTCTGTCTTCATGTCAACTCAAATTGCCTCTATTCATAGAAGACTTGGATGGAAAAGTTGATACTATTTTAAGCAAAAGGGAATAGTTCTCTGGGAACTATTGTCAATGCATCTGCACCTAGCAAAGGGAAAATGATGAATTATATTCCTCCGCCTTCCAGTGATTTTTGTGAGGTTGGCTGCATTCACTGCTGACAATATCACAACCAGGAAGAACTTTAATGTAATTTGTAATGAGGTCTTGAGTGGATCTTGGTGGAAGAGTCATCATGTACAGGATTATCAATGATCCCACATGCTTTATTTTCTTTTTAATTTAATTTTATTTTTTTCCATCACCATTTATTCCCTCTATGCCTTTCTCCACCTCCACTCCTCCTCCCCTTGCAATCACCACCATGTTGCCCACATGCTTTCTTAAAGAAGCCTTAAGAAAGCCTTGCTAAACCGATTTGGCTCAGTGGATAGTGTCGGCCTGCAGACTCAAGGGTCCCGGGTTCGATTCCGGTCAAGGGCATGTACCTTGGTTGTGGGCACATCCCCAGTAGGAGGTGTGTAGGAGGCAGCTGATTGATGTTTCTCTTTCTCTGTAAAAAATCAATTTTATATATATTAAAAACTTGAGCACTTTAATTGAGGTGATGGGTAATTGACCCAGAATAGTTGATAGTGGCTGTTGAAGCTCATAAGTGATACTTTTAATTGGAGGGGGGAGGGGGGTAGTTGCTTTGGTTTGGTTTGGTTTGGTTTGGTTTTTGCAACCCAGATAGTGACATCAGAGGCCCCTGAACCCCTCTCTTCTCATAGTAGGTACAGCTGCACACAGAGCAACTCCCTCTGAAAAGTCCAGACACCAATAATACCTTAATAATAAAATAAATAAATAAAAATGAGAAAGAAAAAATGTAAAATAATAATAATAATAATAATAATAAGTCCAGACACCAGCTGAGTGACTCCTACACCTCGATCAAATGAGGAAGTGCCCACTCTATTATTTTTATAAGAAAAGGCCCAGACATGCTCTCACCATAAACACCACCCCCAGCACAGCGCCCTATAACCAGGAGGAAACCCTCAACTCCCAGCTTCTTTCTGAGGCCCACACACCCAGCACCCCTACCTGAGGGCCAGTCCCCCCCGAAACACTGAGCTCTGAAAGCCAATGGGCTCTCATCCACAGGACCCACGAGGCTTTGGGGAGGATTCCAGCTGGGCGGCACCTTACATTGCTGGCCATGAGGGGCTGTGCCCTGTACACGCCCCCTGGGCTCCGGGAAGTAACTGTGAAGATAGGGAAAGGGGGGCTAAGGTCCTAGAGAGCAGGGCTTGTTAGCAGCTACTGAGATCCAGGTCAGAATGGGAAGGTAGCAGGCATTTGTGATCCTGGAGGCCAAAGCCTGGAGCATCAGGCAGTGTGGCACCAGATCTCTGCACCCTCCTGCCCCAGGAAACGAGCCCCTTGCCCCTGTGAGCTGTCACTGACGTCTCCCTCTGACCTCCTGCCCCAGTGACGGTACTTTTCCCCTGGCCCCTCCTTTGCTGAGCTGCCTAAGCCAGTCCTGGGACCCTGCTATTTGCTGGCAGTCCTCTCTGCAGCTGCCTGCCAACAACACCGGGGATTGCTTGGCCTTAAGATACCTGGAATCCCATCCTACCTGCTCATTATGACCTCTAGCACGTGCCCACCACGGGGAAGTGGCCCACATGTGGATGTGTCCCAGGACACCTCGCTCATGATAAGCTGTCAACAGACTTTGTTTACCTCAAAGGGACCAAATTCTCAAAATTTGTTCTTAACAATCCTTTTAATAACGAATCACAATTACCAAAATGAGCCAAAACCGGTTTGGCTCAGTGGATAGAGCGTCAGCCTGCAGACTGAAGGGTCCTGGGTTCGATTCCGGTCAAGGGCATGTACCTTGGTTGCAGGTACATCCCCAATAGGGGGTGTGCAGGAGCAGCTGATCAATGTTTCCAACTTTCTCTCCCTGTCCCTTTCTCTCTGTAAAAAAATCAATAAAATATATTTTTTTAAAAAACAATTACCAAAATGAGAATAATTATTGGTCTCTTGTGGACATAAAGGCAGATCTACTCTGTCATCTTCATATAGGAGGTCCTCAGGAAAAATCTCCAGATGGTACAGAAAACAGCTGGCAGCAGCTGTGTCAATGTCCCTCCCTGTGGGAACAGAAGGCACCATTGAGGGCCCACCAGTGAAGCCTACCCCCTCTCTTCCCCAATGAGGGAAGCTGAGTGTATGCCCTCATTGGCTGGTTAGAACCCTCTTTGCACCATGATCCTGTGCCCCTCTGAGATTTAAGCTTCCCATGAAAAGAGTAGGGGGATGTTCTCCTTTGAGGTCACCATGGACCTCACCTTCCACACAGGGCTGAGAACAGAGCCTTTGCTGAAAGGACAGTCTGTGGACAACCGTCCTGGTTGCCCTGGACAGGGAAGGTTTTTAAAACGTGGGACTTTCAGCTTTAAAACCAGGACCACCCGGTAAGTTGTCCTGGTTGGCCTGGAACTAAGGGGTTTCCTGGGACACAGCACGTTGAGTGCCCACGCCGAGAAAGTGCCAGGCACTTTGGGTGGTCATCCTAAAGGCCGGCCTGATGGAGCCTGTTGAGACTGAGTCATTATGGCTGCTAAACCCTCCTGGTCCCCCCAGTCCAAGGGAGCCTGGGCCATGAGGCTCAGGACATGTGGTCTCTGCAGATTACCACCTGGACTCGAGGGCTGGGAGCAGGGAGGGCAGTCCCAAACTACATACTGCTGGGACCCTGTCACAGTCATTAAGGGTACTGCATAGTTCACCTCATTTGGGGTTGGGGGGGAGGAAAGAATCAATTTATGGCAAGGCATCCCAAACTCTGACAGTTCCTGAAACATTAGTTGCCAAATGGTTTTAATCACATAGCCCTAATAGCTCTACAACCCTCCTAAAAGCATACACATGCCCTACTGTAGCAGAGGTGCTAGCTGACGACCGATGGACTGAGTGGGTGCTTCCAAGCCCTGGACCACACCCACAACCTGCTTACATTCAGGTGGTGCCCCTTCTTGCCAATGGAAAGTGCATGAAAATGAAATATGTCACTTCTGAGCCAAATGGTTAAGTCTAGGGTGTGCCAAGCTCCTTCCCTCACTGGCTGGCTGAATGGGGAGAACTCTGAGGATCTGGATGGGGAAAGACCCCTTAGACAGAAGGAGCTGAGGCCTCTCAATCACCACGTGGAAGGCCACCTAGCAGGAACACTCATGTAGGGCTTGACAGGAGCAAGCAGGAAACTTTCATTGTGTCCAACCATTGGGAATATGAGGTTGATCCATCAGCACAGCTTGGAAAGAATTTTCTTGGAAAGAATGTCGTATGTATTGTAAATCACACTCAAAATAGAAATGAAAGGATGAAATTTTAAGTATAAATAGAAGTTCGAATATTCCCCCTCCCCAGCAGATGACTTAGTGCACCCCCTCAGGGTGCACATCACTTCTGAATCTTTGTGATTTGACAGAGAGATTTCTAATGAACAGACAACTTTGCTTATAACCATCTTGCTCATAGAAAACCTGAACCATTACCAAAGGAGAAAACCCGATCAGATGTAGACCATTTCTAGTGCCTTGCTCATAGTGTGATACCTTAAAAAAAAAAAAAAAAAAAAAAAAAAAAAAAAAAAAAAAAAAAAAAACCAACAACTTAAAGGAGCTTTCGTAGGTTTTCCTCTTTTGAGCTTCTGTCGTCTGCTGCTTTTTCTTCCTCCTTTTGCCTCATGGCTGTTTTCCCAAGCAGAGGGCTGCTTGCACTGCTAACAGAAGTCACAGGCCCCAGCCACTGGCTTTCGACCCTGGGACATCTTTTGGATTATTGCTCTGACTGGGGCTCGGAGCTCCAGGTTAACACACTCAGAAAAGTCTTGGGGATGAGAGGTTGCTGGAGTTAATTCCTTATAGACGCGTAACTACCTAAATTGCTCCTTGTCAAGTAACCCTTGTGTGGGGACGCCGAGGGAGGTTGCCGCGGGTGGCAGGAGAACAGGCCTCTAACCGGCACTGTCAGCGATGCGGCTTGACAAGGACCAGGGTGAGCAGGGAGGGAGGGAGGCGGACAGCTCATCCAAATGCCAGCTGTCCGCCGACTCCCTGAAATCACCCTGCTGTGCGACAGAAGCTTGTGCCCTCCCCAAAAATGCATACGTTGAAGCCCTCACATCCATATCTTGGTAGAAGAACGTACTTAAGAATGCACAAGGGCCGAAGCCGGTTTGGCTCAGTGGAAGAGCGTCGACCTGGGGACTGGGGGTCCCAGGTTCGATTCCGGTCAAGGGCATGTACATTGGTTGCAGGCACATCCCCAGTGGGGGGGGTGCAAGAGGCAGCTGGTCAATGTTTCTCTCTCATCGACATTTCTAGCTCTCTGTCCCTCTCAATTCCTCTCTGTGTAAAATCAATAAAATATATTTTAAAAAAAGAGAAAGAAAGAAAGAAAGAAAGAAAGAAAGAAAGAAAGAAAGAAAGAAAGAAAGAGAAAAAAAAGAATGCACAAGGGCAGAAGGGCCTTTATCCCGGAGGATGGGTGTCCTATGAGAAGAAGCAGCTGGGAGCTCTCTGACATCCACCAGCCTCGCTCTCCTAACACCAGGGACACGTGTACCCAGGCACTCAAGGCCACGGGAGGACACAGCAAGCCACGAGAAGAGAACTCTCACCAGAAAATCGAATCAGCCAGAACCCTGGTCTTAGCTGTGCAGCCTCCAGAACTGGCAGAAAACAAGCGTCTGTTATCCAAGCCTCGCGGTCCGCGGGCTTTTGTGACAGCAGCCCACGCCGCCCAGGACCGGTGGCTTGTGGAGCAGGATGCTGGGGTTCAAACAGGTCACCATTCAGAATCATTTTTTTCATCTTGGAGAGATCTCAAGCCCTCATTTAGTGGATAAGTACATCCTGTGTTCTCAGCTAGTGCCCAAGGTGGGCACACATGCAAGGAAAATGGAGACGTGCTTCCTGTCTCTCTCATTTAACTTATTTGTACTTACTGCAAAATGAGGTGACCCACATTTCTATCATCCTCAGTAGGGCACAATATTTGAAAAAGTATTATCTTTGTAAATGTTTCTTTTCTCCGTAGTTTTTACATATGCATTAAGGTCACTTGTTTTAACTTCTAAATTCCAGAATTAAAATTCAAAATGACTAGAAAGAGCCGAAACCAGTTTGGCTCAATGGATAGAGCGTCAGCTTGGGGACTGAAGGGACCCGGGTTTGATTCTGGTTGGGGGCATGTACCTTGGTTGCGAGCATATTCCCAGTGGGAGGTGTGCAAGAGGCAGCTGATCGATGACTCTCTCTCATCAATGTTTCTAACTCTCTATCTCTCTCCCTTCCTTTCTGTACAAAATCAATAAAATATATATTTTTTAAAAATGACTACAAAGAAACGAGTGAAATGACAGCACTGCACTGGAATAAGAAGAGGGTAATATTATGAAAAGTACTCAGATTCGTGACAATTGGGTTGACATGGGCCTTGTGGGCAGGTTAATTCTGGACCAGGAACTGAATAATTTAGCATTAAGCAAATAAGGGCACTTTGATAAAAATTAAGTAAGAAGCAATTCCTCTGTCTTACCCAGAAACATGAAACCCTTGTTCGAGAATACTACGTGTTATTCCAGTCTCCGGCTTAGAAGTAATATGAAAATTTTTAGTCTAAAAATAACAACCTAATTTTTGCAATGATTGGAGCAAAACAGCTAAAAAATTAGTGCTCCTAGCCTCAAAATATAGATGAAAGACACTCAGTAAGTGATCCTCAAGTGTATGAGGAAGGGTGAGGTGACCCGCTACTTCCTTCCAGTGAAGCTAGAATCAGAGGAAGATCCATTTAATTGCGGCAAGATCCATTTAAAACTTGGATCTACTTTTCAGATTTAGAAAGGCCTTTAATCTAAAGGAATCAAGGTGTTCAAATTGGACTCCATAGAAGCTTCTAAGCTGAGCAATAGCATGAAGGAATGGCCCTTGGTGAAATTGTAACTGCTGTTTTCACATTTGAAAAAAAAAATGTTCTGATAAAAGGCTGCAGACTCTAGAGACAGTCACCTCAATCCGTGTAGCAAGGAAGGGGAACTGAATGGGGGCTGTGGAGAGGGGCCCGGGCTGGTAACTGGGTGGTTAGGTTTCATAATAAGCATCTTCGCTTGGCAAACGAATATCCAAGCTGAGGCTCCCCTCAGACAGGAAGCAGGTACTTCCGTGGTGCTCAGAGGGACCCTGCATGGATTGCTCTGAGATGTCAAGTTCCACTTGGAGATAGAATTCGCCGGATCACCAGGCGAATTATAAGAACAAAGCAGCAGGAGGAAGAGGTAGGGAAAAGGCAGCATTTCCATTACAGCCAAGGCCCTGAGACCGCTAAGGGAGGCTGACGGGGCTCCGTGCATGGTCCGGGAGAGCCAGAGAAGAGAGTGCGTCCCCTCTTGGGAACCGGCAGAACTCAAGGGGGCCCACCCTTCTCACCAGAACAGGTGGCCTCGCAGGCTTTGGAATGAAATGGTCTTCCCCGGGGATCCTGCCGCAGGTAAAGCTGAAATGGCTTTACTAGTCATCTGATTTGCACAGATTATCCTACACTTCACACTCTAAGGCAAGCACTGGGCTGGGGCTGAGGACCATCTCAGGAGAAATTCGGGGGGAGGGGGGAGAGAGGGTAGATCCATCAGAGCCCAGCCTTTTTGTAAAGGCCCCTCCGCGTCTGTTATAAAGGTGGGTAGAGACTCCACGCACGGGCTACCTCGAGCTTCAAAGATCACAAGAAGGGTGTTGGCCGGGAAGAGTGGTTCTCTCTTCTCTGCACATCTTTTCCCCCATCAGGAGTGTGTGTGTGTGTGTGTGTGTGTGTGTGTGTGTGTGGCCAACCCGGATCCCTGGACGGTGGGAGAAGCATGACTTACTGTGCACGAAATATTCTCTCAAACTCAGGTGACCCAGAGACTGCCGGGGCCATAACTTTGTATTTATATCTTGCTTTTCCTACATGCATAGCAAAATAACCTGCAAGTAAAGGGGAATCAATGTTAAAAAAATCTGGCACATTATTCATTAATAAAACGCTCATTTAAAGCACAATTAGATACCACTGCATAGCTATTAAAATGTGTAAAAATTTGCCGTAGCTCGTTTGTCTCAGTGGAAAGAGCGTCAGTCTGCGGACTGAAAGGTCCCAGGTTCGATTCTGGTCAAGGGTGTGTACCTGGGTTGCAGACTCGATCTCCAGTAGGGGGCAGGCAGGAGGCAGCTGATCAATGATTCTCTCTCATTGTTGATGTTTCTAACTCTCTCTCTCCTCTCCTCTCTGAAACCAATAAAAATATTTTTTAACATGTAAAATTTAAAAGACCAATCACGCTAACTTACAAAGACATAAGAGTAACTGGAACTCTTACCACTGCTGGTGGGAAAGTAAAATGGCAAAACCACTTAAAAAAACCATTTGGCAGGATTTGTTAGTTCGGCATAGCTGGACCATATGATTCAGCCTTTCCACTCCTGTCCTACCCAGTGTCCTGCTTCACCCTGCTGATGAGGACACTGAAGGACACAACATCCTGGCCAAGGCCACCCGCCTGAGAAGTGGCTGGGCGGAACAGATTCAGGACCTGAGCTGCTTCTGCCGTGACACATGGGCTCCTGACTCCATAACCACAGACTCTTGTAGGAGCTACACATTCTGGTTCTTGTGCCAACTGAACAGCTCTCTCTCTCTCTCTCTCTCTCTCTCTCTCTCTCTCTCTCTCTCTCTCTCTCTCTTTCTCCCCCTCTCTCCTTCCCATCATCCAACATTCCCTGTCCGCCCCCAATCACCATTGGCCAGTCTCCTCTTCTCTCCTCCTACTCCCACCCGTGGCACCCAGCCGCCAGACCTTCTGGCCCCGTTCACAGCGGCCCCGCACCCGCCAGCCACAGAAGCCTCCTGTGAGGATGGCCCAGGCTCTGTCAGCCGGGATGCCCTTGGCCCCGCTCCCATGCTCCCTGCAGTGAGGGGATGAGGGTCACCCGGTTGGTAGTGGCTCCACGTGGGCCTGTGCGACCCAGGGGCCAGCATGGGGCACTTCAGACCGAAGTGCTTCTTCAATGGGTCACAAACATCCTGCTCCTTTCCACAGAAGGCTGTGACTCAAACCACAAAATGGGGTCAGATTTCCATAAATCCACAAAACAAACTGGCTAGGCAAGGCACTGAGGGCGTGTGCAAGCTGGACTTTATGCTCCACTGCGGTGCCTGCGTGCAGCCCGCGGCCCTGCCCGGTGTGCGGGTACAAACAGCCATGGCAGGACAAAGAAATGTGTACGTGGCTGGAAGTCTTGCCCAGCAGTGCTCAGACCCTCTTTCCCGTTTAGAAGGTAAAAGGCTAGGAGCTGAGCACCTGTGACCCTGTGGAGCAAAGCCCTCTGACTGACCAGGCGACTGGGACATTGAATAGTCCTCGTGGGGAGGTGCTTTAGAATTTAGAATTCAGTCCTGAACCAGAGGCTCGTATCTCTGCAGGAGATTCCTTTTAACCTGATACTCAGACCTACCATAAGCAGTTTATTTCTGAAAACACATTAATTAAAAGATCCAAGTTTAAGAAACCACAGCCAGAGTTCACAGGCAGGTACAGCACTGCCTTTGGAACACTCATAACTAATATTTATAGGCCGCTTGCCCCGCTCCTGGTCAGCACTCTTGGAATGCTGGCTTGAACAGGGCTGTGGGTTGTCACCACAGATGAGAACTAATCCCTGCGAATCTCCACCTGTCCCCAAGGAAGGAGGTGCTGGGCAGATTATGGTCTTTGGAGCACACAGGGCCACCAGCAAGTGTGTAACCCAGAAACCAACCTCCCTCAACCACACACACACACACACACACACACACACACACACAAACACACACTCACATACACACTCACACACACACTCACATACACACACACACACTCACACACTCGTGTGCACATGAATATACATATAATCTCACACACGTACACACTCATACTCATACACACTCTCACACACACTCACACACACTCTCACACACACTCTCTCACACACACACACATACACACAAACATGCACACGCTGCTGGACTCTTACTTTGCTGACAGGCAGAGAGCACTGAGACAGCAGCCAGCAAAACTGAGTTTCCAGCCATCTTTCACCAGGAAGGTTCTGCTTCTGGGCACTGTTTGTAGAAATGAGGGGCAGCAAACAGGGCCGTTGGTGACCTTCCTTATAAGGTAAACAAGCCGGAGAGAAAACGATGATTGCAGGGCGGAGTAACCTTTGCTCTGGAACAGGAACAGGAACAGGAACGGGGAAAGCAGCAGGTCTGCCTGCCAGGCTCGGGCTTCATCTGTCCCAGCTGCTTCCTGAACTTGATTCACTGGCTCTCACGCCAGCCAGCGGCTGCAGGATTCCCAAGGCAGCAGCACCTGCAGCGAAACCGTCTTCTCAGCCAGTTCCAAAGCAATTTCTCTCCCCTGCTCCCAACATTGGGGCCCCTTTGGTCCACTCCCCAGCTCCGCAGGCTGCTGAGACCTTTCTCATCTCCTGTGGGAAAAGTAAAAGGAAGCATTTATTTAATCCCATTGAGCGTTAAGTGTTAATCTAATTTAAACAGAGTCTAAGCTTATTCCCCAGTAAATAACAGACCCAGAATTAGAACCCAAGTCCAGCATATCCCACCTGGGCCCTGTCCCCTGCCCCATGCTGCCTCCCACGGACACCTTGACACTCCCACGATCCTGGTGCAATGTGTTTGGTTTTTTTGTTGTTGTTTTTTTTAGATATAATTGGCATATAACATTGTATTTATTTCAGATGTACAATATAATGATTTAATAGTTGTATATATCGTGAAATGGTCACTCCCAAAAAGTAGTTAACATTCATTGCTTCACATAGTTATAAATTTTTTCTTGTGATCTAACTTTAGTCACCTTGCTGTACATTACATCCCATGACTTATTTTTTTATAACTGGAAGTTTGTTTCACAAATTAAAAAACAGACAAGCTAGGAGATATGTTCTGAGAAGGAAGAGGGCCAGAGAAGAAAGAAGTGGAGCGAGACTGCAGACTGCTAAATATAAGGTAAAGTGAAAACCAAGATGGCGGCATTGGCAAACACCTGAACTTGATGCTTCGCACAACCACTTCAAAACTACAACTAAAAGACAAAACGGACATCATCCAGAACCACAGGAAGGCTGGCTGAATAGAAATTCTACAACTAGAAGGAAAGAGAAAAGCATACAAATTCCACAACTAGAAGGAAAGAGAAAGACTCAGAAAAGGTGTGGAAGTAAAGTATGGAGGTACGGAGGCGTGCGCAGAAAGGGCCGGCAACTGAGTATGCTGTTGTCTTTTTCAATTGGGAGGGAGACACAAGCTCCCGACTGCTCTGAACTCCAGTTCCGGGCAAGACTCTGGGGATCCAGACTTATATGGGGAGAAACTGGATTGTCTAGCTTCAGGCAGAACTCGAGAGCAGCTATCTCTCAGAGGTGCTTGCAGCAATTACCCGAGGGACACTGAGATTCAGAGGCCACTTAGGGCAGGGCTGATGGTCAGCCATAGCTCTGCCCTGAGACCCCACCTTGAGACCCCTGCCCCACCTAAGCTGAGGCTTTTGCATATGAATGGCCTGGCCCTTTGCAACCTAAAATTACCTAACAAACTGCAGCTGGGTCAGAGACACCCAGCACAGCCAAAAGAAGGCCCAAGACCCCACAGCAGCCTGCATTGCTTCACAGCTGGGCCTCATCTGGGCATCTCCAAACCCCAAACAAAGAAGAGGAATCTGCAGATCTCTCTGTAGCTCCTGCTGGGTGGCCTCAGGCAAAGACTAAATTTGAACCTTCTTGGATCTCCCAGTGGTCAGAGTGGGACCATCCAGATTATAACTCCTCAGATCCATACATATCTATCAACAAGTCAATCTAAAAATCAAGTGAATAAAAAATCTGATGAACAGGATAAAATGGTGAATATAATAGAATCAGGGGCATAGAAAGGGAGTGGACTGACAACTCTAGGGGGGGCGGGGGAAGGGGTGTGGGGGCTGTAGGAAGAGACTGAACAAAAATCATACACCTATGGATGAGGACTGGGGGGGAAGGGGAAGAGGGCATGGGGTGGAAACCAGGTGGGGAGGAACTATGGGGGGGGGGGGACAATTGTAATAATCTGAACAATAAAGATTTATTTTTATTTTTTTAAAATACATTTTATTGATTTTACACAGAGAGGAATTGAGAGGGATAGAGAGTTAGAAACGTCGATGAGAGAGAAACATCGACCAGCTGCCTCCTGCACACCTCCCACTGGGGATGTGCCCACAACCGAGGTACATGCCCTTGACTGGAATCGAACCCGGGACCCTTCAGTCTGCAGGCCAACGCTCTATCCACTGAGCCAAACCAGTTTCAGCTAAAGATTTATTTTTTTTAAAACACACACACACTAAATATAAGGTAAAGGGGCGGGGGGAAGAAGTAGAGCGATATTTTATTTTTTTTTTAATATATATTTTATTGATTTTTTCAGAGAGGAAGAGAGAGAAATAGAGAGTCAGAAACATCGATGAGAGAGAGACATCGATCAGCTGCCTCTTGCACACCCCCTACTGGGGATGTGCCCGCAACCAAAGTACATGCCCTTGACCGGAATCGAACCTGGGATCTTTCAGTCTGCAGGCCGACGCTCTATCCACTGAGCCAAACCGGTTTTGGCGTGGAGCGATATTTTAATCAGAAGTAGAAAACACAGTGACACGCTGGCCAAGGGCCTCTGCACAGAGCCATGCCCCACAGCACCCACGTAGGTGTGGCACCCAGCGAAGCCCATTCATCATAGTCCCACCCCTTTGCATGCAGTCATTTTGCTCTGTGAGATGCAGGTGCCCTCAGAGTAAAGTTGGGGGCCTTTCTTTGTCTCAGGTCACTTAGACTCGAGGGATCCCCAGTGCCCAGTTCCTGTTCCAGGAGCGCCAGCACGCCTCAGCCTCACACAGGTCTGCCCCCGAGCTCCCAGCCCAGGCAGTAAGGCAACACCACGGTGGGCAGGATTTACGGACTCCGTTTCTTAAGCGGGGCTAATGCGGGCTGAAGGGAAGGTCAAATGAAATAGGGCTGTTTGGAGGGTTGAATTAATTAACATTTATAAAGCACTTAAAATAGCACATGGCAACTAAAAGTGTGTGCTGTGTGTTTGTTAAATAAGCACATAAAATGCCTAGAAAAGTATTGAGCATATTGGGTACATAATGTTAAAAGGTAAAAAACCATGCCTCTCAGACAAATACAAAGTGAAAACACTTCAGAGAGTTTATTGAATTCGTTCATAAGGGAAGCAGCATGCCATTTTAATCAGTTCAAAGGAGAATTCAAAGAAACACATGTATGTCATATTAAGAAATGATACTCAACTGGATAACTCTTGAAGATCTTATTGGCTTTCTTCCGTGATACCTGACCCAGGCAGCACTCCATATACTGGATAGGAAGGAGCTCCAAGGAGCTGTACCAAATGAGAGACTTTGGGCAGAAGGGGGCGGGAACAAGGAAGTTATACTTGGCAGAAGTGACTAGTTATTGCAAAGTCACTTCCTTTAGGGGTTGGCAAGGGTTCATTCAACAGGCCAGTTATCCAACCAGTCTGATCAGGCGATTCCTGATTGGCTGATGTAGGATTCCATTTCTGGGTGAGCGGAGCTGTAATAAAGTCCAGTTTGGTGACACGGTGCTTAGAATAAGTGCCTCCACTTGGTGCCTATTGTCTTGTTTTCAGCACTAAGGAGTAAGGAATGCCAAAAATTAATTTACAAATACTTGCAAACCAGATCTTCTCACAGTGCCCTGCTGGTCTCTGAAGGTTCACCCTGGTCTTACTTGTTTTTAAAGTTAAAGAAGATGAAGATGACACAAGAAGATGAATCCTAGATGTCCAGAAGAGTATCGAAACTTCCCTGTGTGTTTGATTGAATGGTTTGGCCTTCAGTACACAGCAGAGATTCTAAACTGCACACCACATCCTCATCTCCTAAAATAACTTCCCAAAGGGGCAGGGGTAGGGGGCTGAACTGGGCCTGCGGGCAGGCAGAGGCTCTCCACAAGAGGACTGCTCTGAGAACACAAAGTGGCAGAGCAAAGAGGTGGACAGGAAAATGGACCCCTGTCTGATGGCTGAAACCTTTAGGAGTTTATAATTCCTGTTTTGAGAAACTTGGGCACATCCATACTAGAGAACTAACTAGCTTTAAAACAAAACAAAAAACAAACAAACAAAAACTGACAACTCCAGAGTGACCTTCTTTGTCTCCCCAATGAATGACCTTCTCTCCACTTTCCAGACACATCCTGAGATTCCTTACTGACTTCTCCCCACTGATGCCAGTCAGTCTGCAAACCCGGGTCCGAAGAGACGGCTGACACAATGGGAGAAAGTGCCTCAAGTGCTTGGAAGCTTTAATAGAGCTTGAGAGTGCAGCTGTTTCTGCTGCTAAGAAGGTGTTCAACAATAGAGCAATACTAACCCTGTGTCTGGGCTGACCCCCCAAACAACAGTCATTGCAACACAGCACACAGCCTATTACAACGTGACTCATGAAAACCCGAATGGATAGGCCATAGGCCAGTCAGGTCCTGCACAAAAAGAAACATAACAACATACCCTGCCAGCCCCAAACGGGAAAAACCAGGTATAACATCAGGAGGCAGAAAGGCCTAGGGCTGTTCTGCTACCCTGGTAACAGGATAAAGCATTTCAAACACTGTCCTGGCCAGCATGGCTCAGTGGTTGAGCCTTGACCCATGAGCCAGGAGAGTCACAGTTCAATTCCTGGTCAGGGCACATGCCCAGGTTGTGGGCTTGATCACCATTATGGGGCATGCAGGAGGCAGTCGATGGAAGATTCTCTCTCATTATTGATGTTTCTATCTCTCTTTCCCTCTCTTTTCCTCTCTCTGAAATCAATAAAAACATATTTTTTAAAAATGATTTCAAATATTGGATAAGTGCTTTGCTCTTCTTTTCCTTTCTTTATCCTTTTCTCTTTTTAATCAATCTTTTTTATTTGTTTTTATAAAGTCTTTACTCTCTTGAATCTTTAAATTTTTTTTAAATTACAGATTACATTCAATATTATTTTGTAT